GCTTACCAGAGCATTCTTCCAGATCAGTTGCTACTTCGTCTTTATTCCGAAGATCTACACACAAGTTATCTTAAGAACAACGCTAAGGCTAGCAAGAGCTTTGAAGCTGAGGGCGTTGTGAGCTTGAGGTGTCCGTTTGAGATTGAACTGGGTTTACCGTTTGTTTACCTGTTTCATTAATCACCTGTATCAGTTTGATATTATTACTGCTTCCGTATCTTTATTGCCTATTGTTATTTAATGATGCTGCTATCTTTCAAAGTGATATCTTACTTCTCTGGCCAAAATTTTCAAGCAATAGTCGAGTAAGCCGCTACAATACTTTTTTATCTTCACAGATGGTTCGAGTTTCTCTGGATCCAACAACGATTCATTTATTGTAGCATTTTGAGAATAAATGACTTTTAAAGTTGTTGAAGTCGATGAAATACGACATTATATGGGACATTCGCATTAATATTTCGAACAGCCAGTCAGATTACGTTTCACATTTGACGTTTACCGTTTGGAAATGATCCTTTACAGCTTTGAAAATGAAATATCACGATTTGAAATTTTCCATTTGATATAAAGGCTATTCACCACCATTTACTATGAACAGAACGATATATGTAAGTCATGAATTCGTTGTAATACCACTTTGATGTCATCCATCAATCTCATCTGCATTGAGTTGTGTGTTTCTTTTCGTCACACACGAAGACCGTTTCCAATAACCAGTCATTAAGATTACGTTTGGTGACGTTGATAGTTCATGATGAACTTTCAAGCATATTTCACGAAAAGAACTTAAATGTAGTGTATTTCATTGAAATTCTTCAAAGTTTATAGGAAGGAAAGCCAAACTGAAGTTCATTTGGATGAGTTTGAAATGATCACAAGAAATGATCAAATGATTCAAGTTCAGTTGGAATGATCAAAATTGAAGTTGGATGAGCTTGAAATGATCACAAGAATTGAGCAATTGAGCAATCTTCAGAATTTTCAAGAGAAACTCTGCTTGACATTCATTGAAAGATCGCCGCATCTGCTAGACTTCTGTTCAGTAAGTTTGAGAGTAAGAGTATTCGCCGAATGTCACTTGAGTAAGCGTTTAGCGTAAAATTCTTGTTGAACGGCACTTATTGAATCATCATTCGTCAAAGTGTGGCTGAATTGCGATTTCAAAATTTTTCGATTATGCGTTGGAATGAAATTAGCACTTACCGTGATCGAATAATGGAGAGGTTTTTATCGAGCGTGCATTGGAATACATCTGAAATATTCCGAATTTATTGATCAAGTCACAAATGATATTGTTGTACATTTATTCAGTGTTCAAGTCTGGTTTATCACGCATATCACGGGTCGTGTGCGCATGTTCTTCAACTTAAAATACTGACAGTCCTATTTATAATCATAATGATAACGTTTCAAGTGAATATTTGGTGTAGTTTCATTTCAGATGCTATTCCTTGAGTCGATTAGCTGGTCTAGCTTGATAGCTAATTCCAGGATAGCATGATAGCATGATAGGATAGCATGATCGTGGAAAGGATAGCATGATCGTGGAACGTAATCAGCTCGTAAGATCGCGTGGAATCAAATCCCACGCAATCTTATGAGAGAGATTGCGTGAGCTATGACTTTATTCATGATATTTGTGCAATGAGAACATGCCAATATCGTCATTAAATGCATATGACGAGTATTTTAGCGTCATACTGAAGCATTTGATGAACTTTTATTGAGTATAGCACTTTTTGTGGATGAATCAACGGAATTTAAAATTTTTCTCATCATAACTGAAAATTTTTGAGTAATCGGTTTTGGAGAGATGGCATTACTACAAGTATTGATTTCAATGATTTTAGTTGTAATAACATTCTGAGAGCAATTCATCTTATCTTGAATTCATAACAGCTATCTGCATGATTGTTCGCCAAATGCTTCTTATAGCCATACGTTTTGATCTTCAACTCGATCATGGAAGCTTTAGGAAAAAATGATGAAGATACGGGACATTGATATCCCATAATGAGAATTCCATTCGAGAAACCAATGGAATCACTAAAATCAGCGATAATGAGAAAACTTAGGAGCCAGAAGAGTGATATATATGAAAAAATATAAAAAACTACATTATAAATGTAGAAAAACGTGTAGAAGTCTTTGAAAGCGAACATTCGTATCGGTAAAACATATAATATGGAAAATGAATCCGATCCAACATGAGGAAGGAAGGTAGAAACTTATTTACGAGAATGCTGATCGAATATTTGTGTTTGCGAGCCTGAGATTATGCTCTATTGAATAATCCCGCAAAAAGTTATCATGCTTGATTGAAACTCATATTCCATAACTTATATTCCATATGTACTTAGCCAATTCATTCAGCAACGTTGAGCAGTAGGCATTTCACGTTCGCCTTGGAAAGTTCACTAGCTCACTCTATCATTTCTCCAAGAACTAGGAAAACCGACGTTGTAATTATGGTAGCAGTCATCCAGTCATACGGTCACAACAAGAAGGTCATGCGGTTGCTTCGAACAAGTGTTTGAGAGGAGGGAACATTTTGACTTGAAAAACTTGTCATGAGTTTATGGAATGCAGATGGATTGAATTACATATTACAATCGTGTATAACTACAACGAACATTCTATGGAAAAGTGATATGATGCGTTAAAGAGTTATCAAGTGAATCCAATTTGAAGGATCCATTTCACACTGGCCAATAGATAGCTTAGTTTGAACGGAAGAAATACGAATGCTTATTTGCAAAAAGTAAACCAAATTACACTCAAGTCAAAACTCATCATTCACTATTTATCAGTGGATGATAAGCTTTCATTTTTCGATTAGTGAACAGAACAAAAAATTTGTAGTTTAAGTTGAAACATTCATTGTGAGATTAATCATTTGCTTACACGCATTGTTACTTCAATTTGTGTCATTTCGATTAGCTCTATCACGAAAATTGATATCTAGTTCCTTATTTCGCACGTTTTCTTTCGAAAAAAATTTGCCAAAAAATCTCCATTCTAACTGAACTGTTCAATGCGATCACGCAATCGTCTGAAATGCTTTGATATTTCGCAAACCTCAGTTTATTATCACTGAATATTGAACGGAATGAAAACGTTGAGATTTCGGTTGCGCGCATAGGGTTGATTTGATTTTCCGAAGGAACTTGAGCATGCATGTTTCCGATGCTATGGAAATTTAGTATTAGACTGCGAAATAACGACTTTCATGCAAATACCGCTTCCGAATTGTCTAAAAACTTTGAAAATGTAGGTTCTTGTGAACTTTTCCCATGATAAAAGCTTCTGAGATTCTGCGATTTGCATCCAGTCTGACTTCATTTCTAATCCCTGGCCAGTGAGTTTGATTGGCACTTGTCAATGCCTGCAAATAGTTTTCTTCGACCCATAATGAAATTTTTTTGTTAGCTTATGGATAAGCACTGGTGCTGCTGTAAATGATGGATTGAGATTCGATGGTATCTGAAAGATATTGATGAGCCTCACAGTTGAACCGATTAACTTTCCACTTAACCTCCAACTGCTGTTCATCAGTCTTGCAGATCAGAGTGATCGAAAAATAACCTGATCACTTACAGATTTGTAAAAAAGCCCTGATCTCCTACCAAACAATCTCAGTGGATCATTCCGAATCGCTCAAGATCACTAATATTATCGCTGTTCCAAATATGATCGAAAACTGTCGTTGTTGTAATTGTTCTCGCTTTCGCCTGACGCTGTACTGTTTTTCTGATGAATCATGATTCCGAACATGCTGACCTTCAAGGATTTCAGGTTCGACGCGTTAGAACTCGTAACCCATCGACTGTAACGAACGTTTTCATTCAATCGAACTGTTCAGATACACACACTTCACTACTATTGGATTCTGTTGTATCGTTCCAACGAAGAGTTCTTAATGAATGGAGGTTTGTGCAGCAGAAAAACAATCAATTGGATCGCAGATATCCGATTGGGATAGTATCTCAAGCATCGATCAGGTTAATTTCTGATCAGGATACTAGAATTTGTTTCCTAAAATGATCATAAAATGGAGCAATCGTTCAAGCTTCAAAACGATGTCTATCGACCAAAGAACTATGGATTGCAAACTTAGACTCAAAAGCATGATTATGAATTTGAGTTCTCAAGGATTCGTGCATTACCAGATAATGAGATATTCATGCATGAACTAGAATATTATCACCTGATTCAATCGGTTGCCAGTCGTGGTGTTTAAGCCGTACTGGTGACATCGGGCAGCATTGGCATAAGCGGACAAGCAAATGATTCCGAGGTTGTCTCGATTGAGATGATTTTGTTCCGAATTATCAGCAAGCAATCTCAAATGTGGATGATTCCCAACGCTATTACCGTTAGCTGCGCGGAAAGAAGAATGCCAAGGAATTAAGAATGTGATATTAGTGAGATTGGTGATAACAGAGAGACATAGACTCGTAATGAGTTTGATTTGCTCATTAAATGAAATGCACATCAAGCAACAAACACTTAAAAATTCGTTAGCATTTTCAGAACGCTGCCATTCTGGGTGTACGTTCAACAAAAGCTCAGTCACCGCAACATCCCGAAATCACTCAGCCATCGCCAATATTTTTGCGCACCCTTCCGCACAACCAACAGAATGGACGAAATTCTGATCGAGGTGAGCCACTTCCCCGCTTATTGTGATGTTGAATCTGCTCAAGATTTGGACTTCAAAATATTCATTCGTGGCGATTGCAAATTGCAAAGATTCTTGCAGTAGAATAATCGTCTGCAGAATAATGCACTCACGTAGAATTTCGTGTAAAACTGTTCAATTTATGGGGCGTTTTGAGCATTTTAGTGGTGTAAAATCATAAATTTTACATTCGTAATTCATTGGATGACGTTAACGCAAGTCATCTAAATGTCCACATGACTTCATCATGTCCACAATTAGTTGTCAATATTTAATTTTTCAACGCTTTGTGTTTCGCAAAGTCCGAAAATTGCAAATGAGTGTACTTTTAACAAGTATATGAACACCATTAATATACTCAAATGAGTGATGAAAAAAAAGAAAGCATATTTCAAGAAGAAAATTTTCAGATGATATTCCAAGTCATACGTCGCAATCCTACGATTCAGATCGGCAATCGTACGCGGTTATTGGTGGAGGTGCCCATAAAACGAGTGGTACCTATCTATTGCCAGCACTAGAGCGACCCAAGCGCTTGAGTATTAACAGCACAACAGCGATGAGCAATACGGTTGCAGATGGTCAACCGAGCCGCGAGAGGAATCTGAGACGTCATGGAACTGAGCCGGCCAGGAGACGAGGTAGCCACTTCATATTGTTTGCAATATCCGGATATCTCTTGCGTGCTCAGTATCTCACTATTACATGATCATTCAGGTGTGTTTGAGCGCATAAGGGCAGCCAAAATTTGCAACAGTGAATATGTTAATTGACCGAACTGGATGAGACTGTTTTCTGCATTTTGTCGCGGATTCAAAATAGGATTTAGACTCAAGTAATCCTGACAATGAGTTCATATTCTCTTTGCATTTCGGTAGTGGCCTTTCCAGCAAGACATTTTACTTCTAGAATAATCGTACGCTTTCTAGTTCGATCAACCTCTTATCGCTAGTCTCAGAGTGATCAGTCAAATACAAATGCATTTGATCAAAAATATGCTGTATCGATTTCACATCTCGTTACAATGTTATCATTTCCTGATATGATGTCAGTCATCTGATGTTTTGTTCGATCGTGTTTTTACTATTGTTGCTGTTAATACACTGCAAAGCATCTAAAAACATCGCTGTTGTATCAGATTACATCCATGTTCCCTTATGCTTCAGAGCGCACACAAAATTACCATCTAAAAAGATGCACTTGCGATCAGCAAACTCAATTAGACGAATGAAGCGGATATACTCCCTCACCAAATTGAACAAACTCATTGAAGTAGCGAATAAAAAAAGTGTGGTTCATACAATGATGACTAAATTCGATGTGTCGTGTATAGTAGAGACAGCTTGCGTCCTCTTTTTTTTGGTGCTTCTTTTTCACCTCATCAAATGCGTCAATCAAATCCAATCAATTTGCACGAAAAAGTCAGATTGAAATAGCGCTGAGTATTTGAATGTGGCCAACTTTCAACAATACTTCAAAAATTCGGAGTCGATGAACGTTGCGAATCCAGAGCATTGAAGATAACGTTTGGGATAAGAGTTCGTAACATGGAACGAAGATGAGACGCAACTTCATGTCGATACAATTGGAGTGTTGAAATTTTTCCAGCCAGACTGTCCAGTTTCATTCGCTTCTCCCACTCGATAGTGAATTCTGAAAATCAAAACATATCATCCCGCTATGAGCTGTGGAAGTGAGAATCACCTGGTTTATGTCAAGATAACACTGCAGTTGATTGGTAAAACATGAAATACGATATGCTGAATAGTTAGACTGCACAAGAGTAGGATTCAGTGCGATATAGCGGCTGTGCTTAAATTTGCCATTGATATTTGTAGCGAAGGAAATGTTCACATCAAATCAACATTTGATCTGAAACGAATCGATGACTAGGAACAAA